AAAGATGTAAATATTTCCTGCCTCTACATGACTCTACGGGCAAGTGTATGCTCCCACCACTCGTTTCACAGACAGAAGATGCAATTAGGTACGAGCCTTTTGACACAATTCAGCGTCATCCGCTTGAAATAGGTTTAGTTAGGGCTTAGGCTTAGAAGAGGCTACATTAACATTTGCCTATAGCAGTGGTTCTCATCGAGGATGAAATTACCCATTTTGGGCAATTCGGAGGTATCAAGGGGTTATAAGGGGGTTGGGAAATTAGTATTCCATGTTATGTTATGACAGAACGTCATTGTGATGGTGTTTTTTACATCAGATATGTAAATGCGGTTGGTTGATGGCAACACTCTTCATCTAACAGGGTTTTCATTCGTTTTAACAAGGTTTTCATTCTTTTCCTTGCTGCTACAATCACTCTCATAGCTTTTATCATCAAAAGTGTTCTCTTTGGCTAATTTCTCATTCATTTCATACAACAGTTGAGTCACATTCTCATTCTATCAAATGCATTCTTTAATTGATCATTTAATGTCGAATGTTGTTGAGCAATAATATTCGACTGCTGTATTGTTGATTTCGGCTGTCATCACTCGTCAACGCATCCAGTAAACAGTACATGCTGTAGAATAAGAAATTGATTCCAACTGTGAAGTGAAATGAGATGAAATGAATGAGAAAAACTCATCAAGAGAACGATTCTCGCATGTAATAGCTATGAAAGTGAATGCAACACGTCTGAAAAGAATGAGAATCCATTTAATTCAGTTTGGAGTGAACTTGTCATAAACAACCGCTTTTCATGCTGTACTGAGAAACACAACGGTCTAAGACAAGACCAAGCGATGTCTATTACCATCATGGACGTGCTAGTAAGATTGAACGTAATGGTCATCTGAACACAACATGTGCGATTTCCGTATTTAATATGGGGAGAGGGGGAAGGGGTAATAACGTTCTGCTAGATCATCAAAAGGGGTAATGAAACACCCGAACGTGAGAACCACTGGTCTATAGGAATTATTTATATTTTTTGAATACGCATAAATCTCATCTACACAGAGCCCTCTCAGTTAAAGTGAGTCGCGATTTGATGAAGCAGAAAAACGAAAACGAATTACACAAGAATACAGCAATGGAAGAAGTTTTAGAATGCGGGTTTTTCCAGTTTGTGAGGCTCTCTAATTGTGTTCCCGCTGGAGGTTGTAAGACCAATATTTTTTTTTAATTCTAAGAAAGATTCTGCTCCTTCGTATCCTGCTCTTTTTGAACTGATCTAAATGATTTGGTATGAAGTTGATTGATATTACTGAACGGTGTTTAGATGGAGCGCAAATGTGCGACTGATAACTGACTTATTTCGATACGATTGCAATTAGAAGTAAAGGAAAAGCACCTCGACAACAACTCTGATGCAACCAAGATTCCCAACAAATCAAATTTTGCACGGATGAAAATGCAGCAATCACCACCTCCAGTTGTGTTATCATGCATAATGTATTCGTTTCTTTCTTCAATAAAAAACCTAAAATGTTTACTTTGTATTACATATTATTATTTATTATTATTATTATCAATATTAATTATTTCGTTGTCATTAACTATTTATTATTATCATCATTATGAAGATTATTATTAATGTTGTTGTTATTTTTATATTGATAATAATAATTATTATCATTACTATAACTATTACTATTATCGTTCTCATCACTGTTAATCATAGTGTCTGATACGGGAAGAGACGTCCCATTAGTCCCTCGTAGCTTCCGAGGCGGGGCACCGATTGGGGTCC